GCGCGGCTGGCCTCGCGCAGTGAGCTGCTGCCCGCCTGGGTCACCCGACACGCGGCTCAGCCGCGGGCCCTCGGCCACCTGATCGCCTCCACCGGCTCGCGGCTGACCGAGGCGGGCGTCTCGCACTACCGGCAGCTGCTGCAAAAGCCCGACCACGTCCGCGGCGTGCTCGACATGCTGGCGAACTGGCAGCTCGAGGGCCTGCAAGCCCGCCTGAACGAGCTCCGTGTACCGCTGTGGCTGGTGGCCGGCCTGGCCGACCGCACACTCGCGCCGGTGCGCTCTCTGGAGTTGGCGCGGCGGCTCAAGGGTGCGCGCTTCGTGCCCCTCAAGGGCCTCGGGCATCTGGCGCATGAGGAGGCCCCTGACGTGGTGGTCGGCCTGCTGCGGGAGCTGATGGCCTCACAGGGGGAGAATCCCGGCCCGGACTCCCCGCCTCTGCCCGCGCGGGCGCCGTCACCGCCCCCATGACCGACTCCCCCTACACGCAACTGCCCACCTGGCCCAGCGCCTACCCGTCCACCGGCGCCACTGCCGTGCTGAAAAGCCTCAACGAAGACTTCATCGTGACCGAGCTGCCGCTGCAGCTGCCTGGCGGCACGGGCGAGCATGTGTGGCTCGATGTCGAGAAGAACGGTGCCAACACCGCCTTCGTCGCGCAGCAGCTGGCCGCTGGCCGCCGGCGTGGCCGAACAAGGACGTGGGCTATGCCGGCCTGAAGGACCGCTACGCCATCACCGCGCCAGTGGTTCAGCATCTATCTGCCCAAGGGCGAGACGCCCGACCTGACCGCGCTTCAGCACCCGGAATTCAAGGTGCTGAGCCAGAGCCGCCACGTGAAAAAGCTGCGCCCCGGTGACCTGCAGGGCAACCGCTTCCGCATCACGCTGCGTGACGTGACCGGTGACCGCGCGGCCGATCGAAGCCAACCTGCAAGCCGTGGCCGCACAAGGCGTGCCCAACTACTTCGGCGCCCAGCGTTTCGGCTTCGACGGCGGCAACGTCGAGCAGGGCCGCGCCGATGCTGGCCCGCGAGATCCGCGTGCGGCACCCGAAGAAGAAGGGCCTGTACCTGTCCGCCGTGCGCTCCTTCGTCTTCAACGAGGTACTGGCGCTGCGCCTGCAGCAAGGGCTCTGGGGCAAGACCCTCCCCGGTGACGTGCTGGACGCCGCCGGCCGCCCCAC